TTTTTTTTTTTTTAAATTTTATTTCACACTACCATATATCGGACACATATGCAATCAAATCTAAGTTTCAGGAATTAAGTTATTTCATTTGTCCCTCACCCAATGGTTCAGCTTTCTGTCATACTTTTTCTCTATCGTTTTGTGTATCTCTCCCCATTTCCTTTCGTTATTCCTCCAGAATACACTCTCTTGATCTAATTTACCTCAGACTTCCTACCTCTGTTTAAGGACCAAATATCTGTTGTTTATACTCATTTATCTTTTACTGAGCTTTTCTCACTCAACCACTCTGAATCTCAATTTATGTCTAAGCAACCAGTTGCTGTCAAGTTGGTTCTGACACATGGAAACCACATTTGTGTCATAGTAGAATTGTGATCCAGAGGGTTTTCAAAGAGTTCTTGCAAGTAAATCACCAGATCTTTCTTCCAAGACCTCTGGATAGTCTTGAAACTCCCACCATTCTGTTAACAGCCTAGCATGTAAACTGCACTGCCCAGGGAGTTCAGTTTATATATCTACTCTGTGGCAAAATAGTTATCTGAAGAGTGAGAGAGAGACAAGGAATAGGAAATAGATAGTTTTGACTGGTATTATTTTCTAATTAAATTGCTTAAATTAAGAAAAACACTTTTCTGATAGCATTAGTGTACTAGGAAAAAGTAACAATGCATTTTAAATATTTACAGTTGCCTAAAAAAGGAATACAATGATATTTGCTAGAGTACTAAAGAAGTGTGATGTATAGGTTGATTTCTTTTGGCATATCATTCTTTTACCACTTTGTTATTTTTTTCAGGTCGATAAAGTGGAATCCTTCAAGTATAGTCAGAGCACCAAGGATAGCCTCCATGCCAAGTACAACACCAAGACCTGTGCCACTGTAGTGGGTGATGACCAATGGGGACACTTGCAATTGGATGCTACATCTGTGTACCTGCTCTTCTTAGCACAAATGACTGCTTCAGGTCAGTTCAAGGAGAGAAGCACTGGGAGCTCTTGCAGTATGAAGCAATTGCATGGGCACATGTGGCTTCTCCAAAGGTATCGAGCAAAAGACATGTTTACGTAGCTCAGAAATGAACCTTAGAAACATAATATTTTGTACAGAGTGAGAAACAACTCTTTCAGGCCTAGTTAGTATTCTTTTACATTGAGAAAGAAGTCTGACATATTGATTAATATTCACTTAAATTGAGAAACTGAAAGTCTAGGGTAGATTTTCTTTACATGCATATTTTGTCTCTGTGAATCCTTAGATATTATGAGATGAAAGAAGAAGAGCTGGGGTTTATTGCTTGTTCTCTTATAGTACACTGACAAGCTTGCAGTTAGTATAAACATAAATGTAATCATCTACTTTTATAGTACTCTTTTATAAATATATTATAAACAAGATACTTATCTGTAATGATCTAAGTTATATTAAGTAAATTTGCTTAGGATCAAACATCAAATATTTATTTTTTACTATTGAATAGTACTGATGTTTTTGTTATTAGCTTTAGATGCTTCAGTTGAAAAAGGAAAATGTAGGAAACAACCCAATTCCTTTTTATTTTTCCTAAATTGGAGAGACAATGAATCTGATTATACCCAGTTTACACATTGAATGGAAACTTTTCCAGATCTTCCTGAGTATGTAAATTTACACTTCACAGTACTACAGTTTGATGTTTCAATTTCTTTATTTTCCTTTCTGGTTACAAAGATTCTTGATACTGAAGGTATTCAGGGTCAGAATTCCCTCAGAATACTCTTCTCCCTTTCTTGCAGAAATATGTATTCAGTGATAAAGCCTTTTTTTCCTCTAGAACACACAGACCTTTTCTCAAAGTTAGGAATTGGGTTTCCACATATTCTCTCCTTTTGAGGATGAGATTTCTTCCCTGAATAATATCTTTTTAGGTTTTATTTATTTATTCAAATAGAGTGGCAGCTGTAATTCCATTTCTAATGTTACTTTAATACCACTCTGGAGTCTTCTCTACAAGGCAAACAGTGTCTGAATATCCCTGTGAGTTTTAATTTTGAGCCCAGAATGGAAGTACAAATATATTAAAGAGGCTTATAAGAGACATATTCATTGAACAAATGTTTATTGATTTCTGACTTAAAGTTTGATTTGCCCTCAATCAATTGACTTTGATTAGTGCTTGGAATATAAAGGCAAATAAGTGGATATTATTTGAGCAGAACTTTGAGAAATTAATATAAATTCACAAGTCAGAGAAGAAAAGGGAATAGCATGAATCTAGCACAGAAGTTTGAAAGTTACTGGGCATTGAGTTAAGGCTAGGTATCGTCTACAATTAGAGTTTAAAAGGCATCTGAAAAGATGGCAAAAGATGAAGGTAGAAAGTTGAAGCTAGCGGTTTAAAGCCTGTGTACCATTTTACATTAATGTAGAATGTAAATGAGGATGTAAATAGTTTGGAGTTTAGTTTGTAGTCACTAGAGCTATTCAAGGTAGATAATAAATGAAAGTTCAGATTCACTCCAATAGCTGGGGGATAGATTGGATGGGAGAGAAAATTAATATAGGGGACTGGTTAGAAGGCTATTAAAATACTTTTGGCTAGAAATGATGCAGAATTTATGTAAGGCAGTTCTCTTGGGAATGGGAGGGATACATGTGAGAGATACTAAGTAGATAGACTATGAAAAATATCCGTGGAATATTTAACAATGCATACACATTTCTGAGTTCTTAAAATGTCCAGCCTTTTTTAAAAGAGAGGCTTAAACAGAAGGTGACTGCCACTCCAGGATGACGGCATGAGGAGTTACATGGAGCCTCTTCCCAGAAAAACAATGATAAATGGTTAAATTTGTGAGCAACAAATCATTTAAAGCCACTGGAAATTATTTTAAAGGCATATAGTAAATGTTGAAACATTTATTCAAGGAAATCTACTAAATCTTGGTAAAAGCTGCAAGAGAGTGTGGCATTTGAGCCACAACCAACTCCCTCTCCTAGCTCCCAGTCTAGGACTGTGATATCTCCCCCAAAGGGACAGCCTGCCAGCATTTCTCATCCTCCCCAGCTTCGTGTTGCAGAGATTCTAGTCTAGGTGAGAGTAGCAGAGAAGTATGGTCTCCATTCACCCAGACCCCACTAATAGAGCAGAAGCTTTATACCAGTCAGGACAGGGTGAGAACACTTGTCACCCTCAGCCCAGTTCACTAGTAGAGCAGAGGTTCTATCCTGGGAGAGGCAAGCTGAAAAGACCAGAGTCTACCACCCCTGACCAGCATCCCGCTTGTAAAGCAAAGATGTCACTCTGAGAGAAGTGGGTCACTGATTTTGCTCCCAGCTCTAGAGCACTGGTGCAGAGATTTGCCCAGGGGAAAGGCAGACTGTAAGAACATAGCTTTTCCCAAGGAAACTGAAATTACTTGGAACAGAGTGTACAGAAGTTCAAACCTAATGGTACTCCCCAAAACTGTAGAGATTTTGGTTGTAAACCATTAAGAGGAGACTTGTAGCTCTGCAAGTACAAGAAGCTAAATGGCAAAATACCTAGAAGTTTAACAGAGACAACCAAGGAAAAAGACATCTAGAAGATCCCTCCTGGGTTGGAATAAGCTTTAAAAACCAATAAGGGGACCAAATTTAATTGGATCAGAATGTGGGAAAAATTATGTTCCAGGATGTTGTTGAAAACCGTAAGTATCTGGCAATTAATGAAGTCTAAAAGTTGTATATAGTGCCTAAGACACTTGACTGCTAACCAGAAGGCAGGCGGTTCAAACCCACCAGCCACTCCTTGGAAGGAAGGTTGGGCATTCCTACTTCCGTAGTGATACTGCCTCGGAAACCCAAGGAGGGGTCGCTATGAGTCGGGGCCGACTTGATGGCAAATAACAACAACAACAAAAGTTGTATATAATACCAACAGAGGCTGACAGCTTAACAGAGAGATTAGATAAAGAGACAGTCAAAGAGTTCCCTGCTAAAACCACTCATTCCAGGGTATGGCATGTATACCAAGGCTACATTCTCTGAAGAATAACATTAGAGGCTGCACACTGCATGGTACCTAGACTTCACTGAAATAATCCAGCCAAGTCACTAAACAAACAAACAAAAAGGAACCAAAATAAGCCCAGAGAGAGATATCAGTATCCAAAAGTCCTACAAATACTATTAAAATAACCAGTTTTCAACAGAAAATTACAAGGCATGAAAAAGGAAAGTATGAACCATAGACAAGAAAAAAAGAAATTTTTTTGTTTGTTTGTTTTGAGCATTTGTCAGGTCTCAGATTTTGGACTTAGAAGCCAAAGACTTCGAAGAACCTACTATAAATCTGACTCTTGTGTGTTCCATCTGGTGAAGTCCACGTGTACAGACACCATTTGTGTTGTTCAATAAAGGTATTTGCAATGAGTAAGTCATTGGTTTTGCAAAATTCTGCCATGCATTTTCCAGCATTATTTTTGTCACCAACGCCAAATCTTCCAACTACCGGTGATTCTTCTTTGTTTCCAACTTTTGCATTCCAGTCACCAGTGATAATTAACACATCCTGATTGCATGTTCGGTCAATTTCA